TATAAGGTTGGGGAAACCTGCAGTCAGCTGAGACTGAAGAAGTCACCTGGATGAGTGACGAAACGTTTCTCCCACTGAAAACGCTACGTCCAGATGAACAGAATAAACTTTTGGAGATAATGGGATTGTACTATTAGAAAAGTCATTTAGGACACTTTATAGTTTTAATTATGGTGGCACATTTATTTTTAACAAAAATGAAAACAGGCGAACGTAAATTAGCACCTCACTACATCCTTGGAAGCTAAGAATGATAGTTTGCGTCAAAGATAAAAAAGAAACTGGAACTATAGCTTACTTGTCCTGTTCTGCCGAGCTCGAGCTCCACCAGGGCGACTGGGCCGCTGTGAGCTGTTCCCCGTCTGCTGGCTGCAGCCTGGAGATCCACTCTCCAGGAAAGGCCCCTGAGGCTGGGCTCCCAGCGGCTATGAGCCACCAAACTTTCCTTAACTCGAACTCGTTGGCTCTTCCAGAAACGAGAGAGTGCAGCGGCCTGTTCAGCGCTCAAGCCACCACCACCTTGTTTCTTGGTCTTAGCTGTGAGGAAGGCCTCCAGCTGGGCATGGTCCATGTCTGCTGTGGCGATGGACTGAGAGATGCAGAAAAGAGGACGATGAAATTCAACACAAACCTGGAGCTCTAATGTCTTGTAATCATATCGCTACAGCAGTGTCGTGTGGTGACTTTTATGAAAAGGCAAGCAGTTTACTTTAATACTTATATAATACTACTAATATTAATAAATACTTTGCTTCATTTTAAGACTTTTTAAGGACCGGTTTATTTTTTATTATGACTTGATATAAAATTAGAACTTAAAGAGTGTGTACTTTCTTTTTACCTTTACTGTTTCCAAAACAAGAAGTATTTTCCCCATGACATTTATTTGGAAGCCCCATGTAACCAAAGTGGGTGCATTTTAACTGGACAGTGTATTCGGTCTTTCTATACATTCAGACAGTCTGTACTTTTGACATTTGTATTTTCCCTGTTTGGGCAAATCTGCCCCGAAAAATACATTTCACAGGCACTTCATTTGTTTCCAAAAAAACCCCAACTCCTCCACAAAAAAAATAAAAATATTTTGGGCATTGTAGGTACTGAGTAGGATATTCATGTTAGTGCTGCCCCCTATTGACAAAAGAGAAGAACCAGTGGAAAAATTACAAACCAGTAAATGGTTTGTCACCCTTACCTTAAACATTACAAAAATAATAATACATTTTAAATGTTTTAAATTCTTTCAAATTTAAGACAGTCCAGTCAGGATTTAGCTATTTTATCTGAAAACAATGTGTTAAGCTGTTATTTAAAAACATTAAATGTATTTAAAGACACTAGTCAAACAAAAATCCATTGATAAAAACATAGAAGGAAAAGGAGGAAAAGAAAAAAGAAAGAGTGACATAATAACATTTAAAGTTATAAGTAATAAGTCTGTTTAAACAGCATTTTTATGAGATTTGAGATATTTTATCACGGCTGTTACAGTGGCTTGCAAACTTGAACTTTTCCACATTTTGTCACATTACAGCCACAAACATGAATCAATTTTATTGGAATTCCACAGGAAAGACCAACACAAAGTGGTGCACACTTGAGAAGTGGAACGAAAATCATACATGATTCCAAACATTTTTTACAAATAAATAACTGAAAAGTGGGGTGCGCGTAATTATTCAGCCCCCTGAGTCAATACTTTGTAGAACCACCTTTTGCTGCAATTACAGCTGCCAGTCTTTTAGGGTCTCTACCAGCTTTGCACATCTAGAGACTGTTCTCTAGGTTCTGTCTGTCAGTATAACAAGAAGTCGGCCATCTTGGATACAACTTGTTTTTTTCAATAGGAAGAGGGCCATGTGACATAAACTTATTGGTAATGTCACAAAAAAAACAAAAAAAAAATGGTGTGCTTGGTTTCAACGTAACGTTATTCTTTCATGAGTTATTTAAAAGTTTCTCTTTGTTCACAGCCATTGACATGTCGAAGAGGTTAACACGTGAGGAGCAGATTGAAATTGTGTTGATATCTGGTGAACGCAGTAACCGGGTCATTGCAGCAGATTTCAATGCAAGACACCCTACGAGACCACCCATCTCCCATGCTACAGTTAGCAAACTGCTGGCTAACTTTCGTGAAACTGGTTCAGTGTTGGATTTGCCAAAATGTGGACGCAAGAAAAATGTCACTAATGAAGAAACATCAGTGGCTGTCCTAGCTTCATTCAGCAAGAGCCCACAGCGTAGCACTCGCCGCATGTCACTGGAGAGTGGCATTAGTCGAACATCCCTTCGGCGGATATTAGCAACTCACAAATGGCACCCTTACAAACTCCAGCTACTGCAGCATCTCAACGAGGATGACCCAGATCGGCGCACAGAATTTGCAGAATGGGCAAAACACAAATTGGAACAGGACCCTCAGTTCATGCAGAAGATTTCGTTCAGTGATGAGGCAAACTTTTATGTGAATGGTGAAGTTAACAAACAAAACACCGCTATTGGTCTGAAACTAACCCACATTGGATGGATCCTCCAAGACTGTTGGAGCAACAAAAGTGATGGTTTCAAGTTACGTTGAAACCAAGCACACCATTGTTTTTCTTGTGACATTACCAATAAGTTTGATGTGTCACATGACCCTCTTCCTATTGAAAAAACAAAAGTTGTATCCAAGATGGCCGACTTCTAAATGGCCACCATGGCCACCACCCATCTTGAGGAGTTTGCCCTCTCACATATACTAATGTGTCACATTAGTATATATTGCGCTTTTACTAGTCCCTAAGGACCCCAAAGCGCGTTACATATCCAAATTGGAAATTATTCTTTTATGATTATTCTTTTTCACCCATTCACGCACACATTCACACACTAAGGAGCTGACATCCCCTACCCCCAACATAGGTTAGCCTTATGTTGCCTTGTACATAAAAGAATAATTTCCAATTTCTTCCTGGCAATGAGGCAAGCAACCCATTTGACTCAATCATTGCTTCACTTGTACTGGAAGCAACCCAAGGCCAAAGTACTGAAATAGCATCGAAACTACAGAAAGCTGACTTTAAATGCTGGGAGTCCAAACATGGCGACACTCATCCATCAAAAGAAAGACAGTTCATTTGATGGATGTGTTCATGAAGACTTCTTCGTTCGGCCGCTCTTTTAAGAGAGAAACATTCGGACAATGTTCTGAGTTGCGTTTTAACAGATATTCTCACGGTGCCTCTCATTAATGTGTGTTTGTTTGCGTGTTGTGCATTTCTGGATGGGCACAAGCATGCACTATCACGCAGACGCAACCCTTTCTCCTAAACTGAAGTGAATATTAATGAAAAGAGCAGAATTGCTTGGTCTCGACTGCCACTTCAGCATCAGGATCATCAGTAGTGCAGGGTGCCGTGTTGCATTACCTTTAAAAGGCCTTTCATTTTGTCGTGCAAAGCTGTGAACTCGTCTGGCGACATGTCGGGGTAGAGCTCGCTTTTCAGCAGCTCCTCTGTGATCTCGCTGTTGTTGTAATATACTTTCTGTGCGATTCCATTTAACAAGCTGCTCAGAGACTTCATCGCGTCTACTTCCGCCATGTTTGCTCTTGTGGTCACATGAATTGCAGTACAACACGGCATTGTGGGACTTGTAGTTGCAGATTCCGACGGCAGCGCTTGACATGTATCGTTTCATCCAAGCCTCCTAAAGCGAACATCAGAAACTTTGCTGGAAAAATTGTGAAAAATCATTTGCAGTTACAAGGCCAATTTACCAGATAAAATGAAGCAATTGATTTATGTTAAAACGAGCAACATGCTGAGTTTTATCAGATGTTTTGACAGTGCGCATTAGTGTGGATTTGAAAAGATTTCTACATTTGTGTGTGCATAAGCACAAATAGGAGTATTATGCACATATGAACATAGTCGTGCACATATGAGCCCATGTTCACTGAGAAGGGAAAAAGGTGAAACAGGCATGCTTATGTAATATATACCAAACTAAAGTTAAACTAGTAACTACAGACAATATGTCTAAAAGAAAGGAACAAAGATTGGAGAAGAATTTCAGAAAGCAACAAGGAGCTAGAAAGGGTGTCAGCAAAAGGAGGGACAAATCTACAGTTAGTTAGAAAAGAAGATAAGAGCTCTTTACAGAGAGACTGTCAAGAGAGACCAAAAAAGAAGAAAAAAAGAGAAAATATAGACATTTTTTAAATGGCCTGAAATATCCCATGTTTTTTAAAATGTGTTATTTATTTAAATCGTTAATGCATTTTAAAAGCAATGCTACAGAATTATTAAATCAAGAGCATTTAGACATTGATTCAATTCATTTGAATCACATTGCAGTCTGACTATCCATTTTTACTGATTAGCTGGCCTATTTCACCTGAACAATGTCTATCTAAAAAAAGAAATAAAAAGTGAAACAGTAATGTCTGTACAAACTGTAGTGACTGAGGAGTAATATTTTGATAAAATAGCTTTAACAGAAAACATGTATAAATTGGCTAAATGTTATATGCAATGCACTATTCTGTTCATTGAACACATAACTTTAAATGTCATGAGTAATAGTTCAGAGAATTTGGTTTCAGGATATACAGAAAGTGCAGTCCTTTATTTATCAAAGCAAGTCTAATAGTACCATAACACAGGAGTTTCCAAATGATTGACACAGAGACCAGAATGCATGCCAAGCCAAGCTTTAATCAGGAAGAGCAGAACATTAAAGTTTTGATAATGTTTAATCTTTGACTAAATGAAATAGTAGTCAAATCTCTTTAAAGTCCCTGTTTTGTGACTCCAATTCATGATTCAAGACAAAAGTTTCAAGTTGATTGCTCCTACCACAGATCTGTAAGAATGTTTCACAAAAGCTCATTAAATCAGTAAAAGGTTGTAAAATTCTTAAAGTGGACATATTCTTTAAATTTCTAGTGTCATGTTTCTTTTTATTATTTTCAAATGTATTTTATTCTTTTTTTAAACCAACATTTTCTGGCAGCTCCTTGAAGGTTTAAACAGCAGGTCACATGGGACATGATCATATTAACTCACTGACAAGTTCGAAAGCAAGTTATTTTGTTTATAAAGGCCAAAAAATGAGAGTTATGCTAGCATAAAAAACAACAACTAAATCTATGAAAAGGAAAAATAATGCAGTTTCTCAGAGGATCTTCCTAGCTTCACTGGGTTACTTGTCAGAGTTTAAGGCTATGACAGACCTGTTTTACCTTAACCATGCCACCCCCCATTTCCCTCTACGTTTACCACCTCTTCTACTCTTGTTGCGTCCGTTGCGTTTGCTTCCTCTTCTGCCTTTGCCCTGTTTTCTGCCTTGCTTGCTTCCATTTCTACGTCTACCTCCTCGTCCAAGCTTGCTTCCTTTTCTACCTGGGCCTCTTTGTCTAAACTTGCTGCCTTTTTTACTTCGGCCTCCTCGTCCAAGCTTGCTTCCTTTTC